TGTATTGTCCCCATGCACCGCTATACTTGCTGTACTGCCACTGGAAACAAGAAGGAGGACATTATACACTGGAGCATGGTACAGATGTGCTGGGCAAGGTGTGAATTCCCCTCTGCATCTTCTTTTGCTTTGCTGTTCCTGGGGCACGATTCAGAGTCTGTGCAGTTGTTCAGAGCTGGTCACACTTAAACCCCAGCTGACACTACAGCTATTTTTGTTACATTTCATGGGACATATGAGTCGCACACCGTTGATTCCTTTGCCCACTTGTATTGCCTGAGTGACTAAACCACGTTTTCATTGCTAGTCTTTGCCATTGCAAATTCAAAAATAATAAGTAGTGCACATTATTCAGTTAAAAATCTGCTGTTCCCATGAGCTTTCTTACAGGCTAATTTATTTTCTAGAGTATTTACAGTAGTAGCTCTAACTGCCAGAAATCAGAGATTCTTTGTGCTTGGGAATAAAAAGTGGAAATTTCAAATCTTCTCGTAAGAAACATGAGAATTGCAAAGTGATTTTTTAAGAAGTTTTTTCCAGAAGTTCAAAATTAAATGGAGTGTGGCAGTCATCCCTGCTTGGATGGTGAGGAATGGGTGACTGGGCATTGAGAAGTGGACTCAGGGTTTTTCAGTCTCCTGGCAGCGGTACTGTCAGAGAGAATGAATGTGAGCTGGACCTTCCAGCCTCCACAGGAGATGGTCCAGAAAGGCTGCGATCCTTCAATGTGAGCACATCACTAGGGAGAGTGGCTGGAAAGCATGCAGGGCTGGACCCGCCAGTCGGTTTTTCCCAAAGTGCATACGGTGGGATGAAACATCTGGTGTTTGACGATATCGGTACATTGCCTCTAAAACATCACGTTTGGACCCCTGCAGGCTGCTCCCAGACCTGCAGATCCTCAGCACTTCCTTGCGGCAGCATCGATCCGTAATTCCAGCTCTGAGGACTTCAGCTGGGCTGGCCATTTGTTGGCCAGGGCAGTGGCTGTCCCGCTGTGCTGGTCCCCTTGCTGTTAAGGTGCGAGGCAGGGCTGACCACCCACCGAGTCCGATTGGAGGCACTGGTGCCACTGGGGACTGCTTACAGCTTCCAGTCGAGGCTAACTGGGAAATCAGATCTGTAAACACAGCCAGAGGAGAGTGGATGTTGTTTATTTAGCGTGATAATAAAGCAGCGGTGGGTTAGTCAAACAGTAATTAGCAACAGGTCATGCTGTAATTAGAGAGTCTATTGCAGTTGGTTACCTCTCACTGAATGCCACCAGTAAGTCATCAAGTATTTGGAGTAAGTAGGAGATTAGGATGCAAGTGCTTTCAGGCGCAGTTAGGACTATTTGAGAACATGCAGATCTTTTTCTTTGCCTCCCTTTATCCTAGCAATTAACGTAACACAAGGCTCTGAAGTGGCACTTGCTTCTCTCTCACTTGCACGAAATCTTGAACAAAAGCTCCGAACAGTTCTCTTGAGTGATTAAATCTCATTTGAAAGAGCTTGAAGTCTCAAGGGGTACAAAGGAGTAATTATTTTCTCTCTTACAGAAGAGGGGAAAGGAAAGTTCTGCTCTTCAAGCACAGGTTTGTATTTTACATATGCCTTTTTTTTTTCCTTCTTCTTGCTATTTTAAGAGTCAAGGTTCCATAATACTATTGTCTGAAGATCAGAAGTTTCTCTTGCTTAGACAGGCAGTGAGATTCTGGCGCCTCGTATGTGAAAGGAAAGAAAATACTTCAATCAGTTAACTGCATTCACGGGTTTTTGCTGAATCTTCCTTCCACTGAATGACTTGCTGTGTTTAAAGAATGGAGGACTGAAATCAGTGACTAGAGATGGCAAATAACTACTAGATAAATGCCACGCACATCAGTCTTGGATACATTACTCAATCTTCACACCCTTGGATGCTTCTGCAATGCCTTCACGTTGCAATTTCATCTTTTCAGTCATAGCTTTCCCCTCCATTAGCCTGGCTGTCTGGGGAAGCTCCCCTTTCTGCTCTCTGTTCATCAGCTCAGTTCACAGACTTTGCCTCCCGATAGGAGTGTCTGGTCCTGCTGTGCTGCTTGACTGCGGCAGTCAGAATAAGTACAAGCCAAATATATGCACCTTCTTGCTTGCCTGAATTTGTCTGGTTTCAACTTTCAGCCTTTGGAACATCTTCTGCCATCGGGATTGTCCTTGACTACTTGCAGGACATGCTAAGTCCTTTTTCAGCCTCTTCTGGGATAAACAAAATAGATTACTCTCCAGAAGCATCCTGTGGTAAAAACACCTCTTCCAGTTGTTTCACAAGGCTCATGGCTTTTCTCCTATTTATTTCCAGCTTTCCAACATCTTTCTTATGTGTCAACATCAGCATGGAGTAAGATACCATAGCAGCCTTGTACCTGCTTTCTCATTCAAGATTGTTCTGATAATTATATTAGCCACAAGAGTCGGCAGGCACTTGCATTTTGCTGCTGCTGAGTAGGGGCCTCATTTCCTTCTCAGAGCTGTCTCTTTCCAAGAGCAAAAATGTCTCTGTCCTGTAAATAGTTCCTTTATTTTGCCTTTCAAATATGTTGCCTCACCTCAGCTGTCCTGAAATGCATACTGTTTTCTTGCAAAATGTATCCAAGCAATCTGGATTGCTCTGTATCAGTATGCTGCCTGTTAAATTTATCAATTCCCTTGGTCACCAGCAAACTCTTAAGTGATAATTTCCAGGGATTTTTTCTTGACATAAGTAAGATTCCCAGGGGACCATACTAAATCCAAAATCATTAGGCAGTATTTACATGTTTGTGTGTATGTTTGAGACCCCTTGCCCTCCTGGGTTTAACTCTGCTCAAGAGTCTTGTATGGAGTTGGTATTGTCCTTGCTCCTTTATCAAAACCTCATGTAATACCAAATCAAATGCTTTTCTGAAGTCAGAGAATACAGCAAATTTTTACAGCATTATTATTGTTATCACTGAAAATACCAAGATGGCAAGTTTATTCTCCTCTAATCCACGCTGATTTGCCAAATTCTATTCCCCATCTTTAATTCCTGATTAATTGTATTCTATATGAACCATTTTATTATTGTGCTAGAAAGCAAGCTTGGATTGATAGTCTTAAAATTACTTAGATTGTCCACTTGAGTCTTTCAAAATATTAGTACACTTTTTGGTTAACTTTGACTGTCCAAGTTTACTGGAAATCAAGATCAACCATGTGTAAAGCTCTTTGCCCAGCTCTCTAAAAAGTCTTTTTTTCTTTAGAAGATGCCATTACCTGGACTTGCTAATTTTGAAGTGTCTAGCATTAGCAACTGCTGTTTAACCTTTTGTTTAATATTTGCAGGGATGGAAAAGCTCATCACCACATAATACGTTTCCCCAGAATAGAACAGAAGTGTTTATTGGAGGTGTCTGCTTTTTCTGAATCATGGTCAACAACTCTACCGTTTTCCAGCTGATCAACCTAACTTTTAATTTTTCTTTTTTTCCCAATATGCTCAAAATCCACCTCTTCTGCAGCCTACAGATTTGTCTACAACTGTTGCTGCTTTCTGACCATTTCCAAGCTTTTCTATGTATCCACACCTACCAGCTTTCCTGTTCTTCTCATAGCAGTGTCTTTTGAATATACTACCCAGCTATGACATCTGGCCCATGCAGGGCTGTTGGCATGGAGGCTTCTCTGTGCTTCGGGTCAATGACCTGGTGGTTATCACTCTCTTCTATTTACATCTTTTCTTCTGTTCTAGCTCACTGTTTTCACCTATGTTAAAACCATTAGATATTGTCTAAACTCTTCAATGCACACACAATGTCTCTTCATATATTCCTGCTTTGGCTTTTCTTCTGTTTGCTTCTCAGAAATACGAAGAGCTACCATGATCACCATTTCTTAATGCCATAAGCATTTCCTCTTAGTGTAGCACCATGATGTCCCATGTAGAAGTCTTGGCCAAATGTACTCGCCCTCATCAAGATGAGGGAATAACCCACAGAGCCAGCTCTGAGTTGAAGCCTGGTCCAGCGTAACTGCTCTTTCAGCACATCTCATCATCAGTAGGGTGTTCACCAGTCCCTCCAGGGGTAAAGCATTCTGCATTCATGTCCTGCCAAATTTTCAGCTCTTTCCTTTGGGGATCCGCTGATTCCTTGCAGGGCAGGAATCAAGGGGCTGAGGAAGCCTGCAATGAAAGTGAGATGCGATTTACCCATGAGGGAAGAAATGGCATGGGGTACATTGCAGACAGCCTGACAGAAACCAGCCTGAGAACATTTTTCAGGGAGTAGCAGCCTGAAATGAGCAGAATTTGAAAAATGCACTTGTTCAAAGTACGTGTCCTGGTGGAAATAACTGTTCTCAGTGAAAGCATTGAAAATGAGCCACATGACATTTCATAGCAGCCAGGTGCCTGGTGCCAGACACAGTTAGCATCTGGACAGCTTGTTTTACCTGGAGAGTCTGGCTGATGAGAATTCACAGTCTACCTAAAGCATGTCCTGTCATTCTTTGTTTGGAAACAGCCATTTGAAAGCAGCTTGCCCTGTGAGCTCTTGCATCCTTTTTACCCCTCCCATCAGGAGTGCCATAAGGCTCACTGCTTTAGCCCATGAAAAGATGACCTTCTAAGCCAACCCTCAAGGTCTCATAGCTCCAAGTTTATTTTGGTTTCTTTTAATGACCTGAGGGGGATTCAGTGAGTTAGTAATTTAATTTAAAGGAAGCTAAAAACATCAGCAGCTTCTTGGAATGTGCTGAGCTCAGCATAGTTTGGCAGGGAAAAACACTTCCTTCACATGCATGCTTCCTAAACATGGGAGCACCAGACCCAACTTCTGCTCAACCCCTGCCAGCACAGATGTTGGACCCACCCTGTCCCGATTTACAAGTATCTGCTCTGGGATGATTCCACCTATTGCTTCCACGTGGGGTGATGAGCCTGGGAGCTCATCAGCTGCAGCTGGGATACAGGCTTTTGTTTAAGTCCCATTGCCCTGGATGGCTGTTAGTAGTGTAGGGTATTGGTATGACTACTGGCACAGCATGGTTAAGTGTTGAGCCCCCAGAGGCTGTTTTAACTGCTTTGTACCAAGAAGAATTGCATATTCCAGTTGCTCCCCTCTGACAGCATCAGAGAAGGTCACTGTTCTACTGCTGCAGTATGTAAGTACCTACAATCATCTCGAAGTACTTCTGCTCTGCTATGAAATATTTAGAGCAAACCCTTGTGTAGAGCCTCTGTGCTGAGAATGTATTATAACATGTTCCCTCTCGCATCGTCTCCATCTTTCAGAAAAGTAATTAATTAATTAACCTTTTGACTCTCCTTGATGGTATCAGCTCAACTAGAAAAGATGATGGCTGTGCACTTTATTCTGTACGGATCTGGAGAGCTGTGCAGTCTCTAGGGGACTGTGATTATTTTAGCTTGCTGCACAACTAACTAGCTTTTTGAAGTGAGCCAGAGGCAGATCAGGTTTAAGATGAACGTACTTTGACAGTTTTCCCCCCAGAAGCTGTCATCCTTTAATGGAGTGTGAAGAAATGGCAGCAGAGCCATTAGTCAGGTTGGTTACATATATCTGCAGTTGGGAGCCCTGGGGATTTTGTACCTGCTTCATTTTCTAAAACACCCCCTGGAGTCATGGTGTTTCCAGCCCTGTGCAGGGGCAGCAGAAACCTGGCTGTGCGCTGCCTGTGGCAATCCAGAAAGTTGATGAGAGAGTGTGAATGTGATACCATGAGTTAAACTGGGTGGGGTGTGAATGTGATGCAATGAGTTAAACCAGAGATGTGTCTGTCGGTAATAGCTTCACACCTGCATTAGTTTATTTGTTTTAAACCCCCCCCCCCCACGTGTAGAGAGCTGGGGAGGGGATTTGTTTGGGTTTGGTTTTTTTTGTTGTTGCAAGGATAGTGCTTGTATCAGAGCGGGTTCGTTGGCACCCTTGAGCAGGAGAGAGTAGGGTCTGTGCCTGTAGGCTTTCATCCCATGGGTTATAGGTTTCCAGCCAAGTCTGTGATACGTCCTCTGCTGCAAAGGTATTTAGGCAGATATACCTCAGAACTTCCCATCAGTCAGTTCAGTTAAACAGAAGTAACAAGGAATCTTTAATGCTTGAGATCTAAGGCTTCATCTAAATTCTTTACACAGCTGAAATCACAGAGGATGTAATTCAGCACAACCCTACTGATTTCCTAGTTTTAGTTATACATGAGTAATTACAACATAGATACCTGGGCCAGGAAGCACTCTTGTTTCTGCTGAAGTCCAGGGGTTGCAGAACCATAAACACAATGGTTGGTGTGTCTCGGCGCTGGGCTTCAAAGCAGGAGGTGATTTCCTGCTTGTGTTTCACAGGCTGCAAAACCATCTTATGGCAGCAATAAAAACAAAGCACAGGAATTTTATTCTAACACAATAAAGTCATTGTCATGCATGACCTCCAGATGGGGGGTTGAACATACCCACCGCACAATGACCCATGTAGGAAATGGGGCAGGAGTTGAAGGCAGTGCAGAAGATGAGTTACGCTCTAGTCCCTCTGTGCTATGAATGAATCACAGTGCCTGCAGTGCGGTGGCAGCCTTGGAGGGCTCCTCTCTGCAGAACACAATGAGGAATCTCTCCTGGCTTGCCCATCTGCTTTGACTCATGGTTCTTCTTTGGCCTGGGTGATGCAGTGTTACCCAAAAAGGTCTGCAGGTAGGATGGGAATCCAAACAAGGAACAAAATAGGTGAAAAAGGTTCTCCTGCACAGCAGGCAAAGCAGAGAATAGTATCACAGTAGCTGGGAGTGATTCCAAGCTCTTCCTGTGACATTTCAACACTTGGTGGTAGGGTGGAGATGGATCCTTTCCCTGCTCTTTCCCTTGGCTGTCTCAGGGTGGCAGCTACCAGTGTGTACTCATTAGCAAAGCTCAGAACATCACAGCAGTGTCTCTGTGGTAAGATGAATGCCTATGATAATGTGCATTTTCCATGGGTTATTTTCTGTTTGCTTTAGGGGTTACCTTTTTAAACAAGAGGCTGGAGCCTTAGGCTGTTGCAAATGAGAGGTTTGCCATGGAGTGACACAGTTGCTGCCCATCATTGCCTGTAATGTTCTTGTTGGGGTATGGGTTAACCTCTGCCACAAGACCACTAGCACTTGTCTCTAAAGTTTGTTTGTAGTAGGAGGGCACTATACTGGCTAGTAATTTATTAGAGAATTGATAAAAGCAAGGATCCTGGGTAAAACATAGAGCTGTCTGTAGAGGCAGAGCCGAGTTAGGGATGGTGCTGGGCATCCTGTAGCTGCGGGTTACCTTTGGTACCATTACACCATGTCAAAGCTGAAGGATTTCCATATTTACTAGCATTTACAGTGTACATTTCCCTGCTGCATAAACAAAGTAAGTTTATTTGACTGCAGGCATAGAAAACACAGCTGGTGCCTTTCTAGGGCATTGGTCTCCATACACGGGTTCGTGCTGGTGGAGAACAAGAGTAGCTGGAAGGTGTTTTCTTGGGAGGGAAAGTTTACAGTGAATTATGGGGAAGTTTTATGACCTGTGAGCAAAAAAGGAAATATGGTAGCTTTGTACAAATCCCTATCAAACACTTACGGGTTCCAGTCCTTTGTGCTGATAAGGAGCACTAACACTGTGGCTTGTCCTGCAAACCCATTTGTGACAGTGTCATGGAAATCATGCCCGCCTGTGTTTCTACCCATGCTTCTGATGCACTTGCTGGGCTCGCCCACCCTGCTTGCCTTCATCTGTTGATCGGTATCCCTAACTGTATCTTCGTCTTTGAAAAAGACCCATGCTCTCATGCTAATGTTTCTTGTGGCTCCCTATGCTGAAGGTTTGATATTGCAGTCAAAGACTTGGAGTGTTTTGGTTACTAACTGATAGTAACTGCTAAAGGTGAGAGCAGTGAGTTGTGAAATTTCATAATACCACTGTCATGGTAAATAACCCCTCAGGTTTTATAGCTGCTTTCTCTTCTCAAACCTCTTATAAAAATGTAGCATGGTATAGACAAGGATCTCATACAGATGTCTCTGCACTGGAGCAAAGTCACCCTTGAATAGCCCATAGAAGCTTTACTGCTATAAATATCTGGTCCAAGAGAACAGGTAGGCAGAATTACTTCCATGTACCATTTCTAAGGGTACATCCCCTTATATTGTGCTGTCTGTTAGTATTTTTTTGGTACTCAAATATGGAATCAAAACTTCTGTTTTCTGAAGTGGAGAGCAGCTTGGTGTGAGGTTGAAAAGGCACAGAGGTTATAACTGAGAGGCTGTGAAGGCCAGGTTGACATGAGGCAAAGCCTGCCTGTCTGCAAACAGGAGAGCACGGGGTGCTGGCTTCTGCTGTGACCCTTGTGCTACCTGGGACTCTTGTGTCCTTCAGGAGCATGAGCCCATTAAACTCAGTGCCTGTGGTTTGGGTTGTCAAGCCAGAGGCTCTCTCTAGGAATTTAAATGGCTGTTTTGAGAAATAACTCTTCAGTGAAAAGAATTTCTTATGTCTACTGCAGGTGATGTTGTGCCTCTATTTTTAAGTGCCAGGTTTTGACCTGCTGGAATGCTACGTGATTAAAACCAGTCCAGAGCTCTGTCTCTGCTGACAGCCAAGGGACTTCTTATCAGCTTTGTCCATTGTGGGGAGAAAAGAGACACCAGTGACAGAGAAGGCAAGAAGTGCTGTGGGAGGGGGCAGTGCCTGTAGCAGAAATGGGTGGTGAAAATGGAACTATTTTGTCTGGGAACAAACAAGATGGATCGCTGGTATTTCCTACTCTTCAAGTGTTGTTATGGGCAGGATATTCTCTTGCAGCACTTGGAGGATTTTGGACTGCTCTACAGTTATGAGCTAAAGATTATCTTTGGGTTGAGGTGACTGTCACTTCACAGCATCAGTTTAATGTGGTTTGGGAAGATCTTGTCTGGTTAGCCTTTGCTAGCAGCTTCTCTTTCTCTGATAATGATGAAGATGGAGCTACAATAGAAACCACAGCCCCAAATGTGAAATATGGTGGGAATTGAGAAACTGCCTTTTTTTTTTATTTTTTTTTATTTAATCACAGCTTTAATTTGGCAGATGTTCACTACAGAAAGTGAGGAGCCTCTTGAAATCACAGATTGAGATAGCAGTAGTACTCTATGTTAGAGTGATTCCTCTGGCCTCAATCAGGAATCGCAAATACTGGATGAAAGCTAAATGACTCTGTGAACTTCCAAGAGTTTACACCCTGAGATGTGGAGGAGCAGTTTCTCAGGGAAGGCTAAACAGGCTTTCCAAACACATGTGGCACTGTTTTTTATCAGTCTACTGCTCTGTGTTACCCAACTACAATGAGTGTCTGCAGGGCATCTCTGCTGGTCAGAGGCTGCATCAAGTCATCGTTGCTGCACACCACACTGCTCTAAAAAGATAAAGCTGGCAAAGGATGAGGGAAAGGTAGGGTTTTTTTTTTAACCTTACATTTATAAAGAGAAGAGTGAAGTTGGAGAGCTGCACTGGGAAGTCCAATTCTTCACAAAGAGCATGAGACACTCAGAAACTGAATATAGGGGTTTTCTTTGTATCTCACTCCCTCCTTTGTGGTGCAGAAGGAACAGTATGATATTAGTCTGTTGGTAAAATGAAATGGGCTTTTTAGACTGCCCAGTCCACCCTAGACTCACTTCATTTAAGGTGTCACAAGTGATGAAGCGGCACAATCCAGCACTGCAGGAAATGGGGGTGTAAGTGTTCCAGAATGACTCAACTCTTCTGTTGTCATCAGTTCAGCAGTGATAGAAAGTGGAACTAGATGGGGCTTGAGTGGGTTGGAAATAAATTGGAGGAAGAATGTGTCTGTGTCTAAGTTAATCAGTGCCTTTCAAGGATGATGCCCTGCAAGACTGGTGTGGCTGTTGCTGTTGTCCAGTGGAACATTTTAATCTTTACTGGGCAGACCAAGTCTACCACTTGGCAGGTTTGTGGTCACTTAAGAGACTGAATTAACTGCTGGCCGCCAGCTAATTCCTTCCAGTTTCCAAGAAGCAAGTTCCTCTTTAAGACCTTAAAGCCACTGAGTGGTTTCCCCAAGTATATTCCCAACCAAGCTGTAGGGACATCAGTTTATCCATCTCCTTGTTGCATTTTCCCTTTCCTACCTCCCACCAGTGTGGAGGAGAGGAGGAGAAGGGGCAGAGGTAGGGGAGCATCCACTAAGGTGCCTTTGTGTTGTGTCAGGTGAAGGAGTGAGGCACAAGCATGCAGCTGGTCTCATCTTGATAGATGGGTGGCTTCTGGTTTCCCTGAATGCCATCAGTGAAGCCTTGCTGAGACTTACTACTCTATTGCTTTTGCCAAACCAGAGCCGGTCTCCTGTGCAGTGCTGAATAGGACTAGTCATACACATGTGGTGTATCTGTCTTGCTCTTGGTGGCAGTGATTACTGGAGAACAAAATGAGTTCTTGCCTCACAAGGGAAGTCTATGGAGCTGTCATTTCAAGCCTGCTGGAGATGCTGTGCCTGTATTTTTTTTTTCCATTAAAAAATGCTGCGCTTTGCTGAAGTGAAAATACTGCCAAAATAACAACTTCGGTTGAGTTTCTCTGGGCCAACAGTTCTTTGCAGAGGCCTTCTTTGTTTGGTCATTTTTTTTGTTTGAGTTCCATGACAGATTTTTTGTTTAATTCTGTTATGGAAGATTTCAGTCCTGGGGTAGATTATTGTAGTGAGCTTTTCACTGCATTCCCTGGTAGCAAATCTGAAGACAACATGTGTGAGAAGACTCATTAATACACAGCTGGAGTAAGGAAGCTCAGCCTGACTCTCACATCTGGGCAGGAGAGTGAACCTGTGTCTGAGCAGGAGCCTGTGCTCGAAGCCAGGAACCAGATCTGTAGGAGAAACCAGACCTGGAGCCCCTTTGGGTTCCATGGCAGGTTGTGAGCAGGGCTGCTCTCAGCAAACCCAGGATGGAAAGGGTCTGGAGCCCAGGAGACAAGGCCATGGGTGTGAATGACTGTTGCTCTCAGCCCATGCTGTAGAGCTTCCAACAGCTCAGGAGCTGTTGCAAGCTGGTTGTTTATGTTCAGGAAAACATGACCTGGCTGCATTGACCTGCATGGCTCCATGTGCCTCACCATCATGCATAACAGCAGAGAAGCTCTTTTGTGCTGAAAGGAATATATACATACCATGGGCCGGATGGCATAAGGGTTGAATTAGGAGGGCAGTGTTATCTTTGTGAGGCAGAGAACAGCTTCCTAACTGAGTATGAGTAATCCCTTTAATAACAAAGAATAGCACCAGCCCTTCTGTGTGAGCCAGATGTATTTACGGAACAACTTGTGGAGATTTTTATTACATGGTATTGACATCACTTTTCTTTGTGGGGACTCCGATGACTACAAGTCTGACCACTGTTGTGTCATGGAGAGAGCAAAAGGAAAGGAAGATTCCCTTTCGAAATCCATTATGGAAAAGCTGACAAAAACTTAAAAAATGTCATTGGGTTCGTGTCCTTTCATTATATGTTCCTTGTATGCTTCATCATATGGGGAAAGATGAAAGTAACAGCCCTTAAAACACCACAGGTCTCCTGCACAGTGGTGGCAGGTTTCTGATCCCAGAGGGCTGTGGAATGTGATGAATCAATTTATTGTCCGTTTAGACCCAGATGTTGCTTTTTTTCTATATTTGTGCGGAAAAGAAAACGTGTTTGTGAGGAGAGAAAAAAATGTACTTGGGGCTGCAGAGCTTAGGGGTATGTCAAGAACTGGAAGAAAAAGTAAATTGTATGTGAGGTGCAATATCATTGGCTGTCACACAAACACACCTAACAGCACAGTGAGATGTAGCTGGGTGTTTGAATACAAAATTCCCAGTTTTATAAAAATCCCTACAACCTTCTTTTTTTTTTTTCCCCCTATTTTGTACCAAAAATGTTATTTCTACTCTATAAATAAACCTAAAACAAGTGAAGAAAATACTAATGGAAACAAAATTTTTTTCCCCGTTTTTAAGTGTCACACATGCTGTGACTGAAGGAACAGTGATGCTGGTGCCTATATCGAAAAGCACATTTTGATGAATAGATAAGGCAGCGGTTCTGACACCGAAATTGTGAGTTTTGCTTGGTTTAGAAAGTTTCTGAAGGTATCTTTTAAACCCCGAAGCTGAAGGGAGTATGGGAGACCTGGATACTCCAGATAGGTGACATTTTCTCTTCTTGTGTTCTTACCCTCCACTCTTGCTGGCTCCCATACACACACACAGATGTCCCTTGTAACAGAACTGTAATAGGCATGGACTGCAGCAAAGCAATTTCATAACGTCCCACTGTAGCAGTAAATACCAAAGTCTCTGCTCTTCTGCATGGCAAAGGAACAATTTCCCCTGAATCAGTGTCAATAGACTTTGACTAGATTTTCCTTGTGATGTATCTGTGCTATCCCAGCATAAGTTTAATATCTCTATCTTATGTGCAGGGGCTGCTTCTGCCCTGCTCTGGATCCTCTTGGTGGGGTTCAGTCAAGATCTGTGCCTTCATGGTAAACCAGGATGACAACCTGCTTTTGAAGGATGCTGTAATGCATCTATGTAACTAGTGCTCACAGAGTGTACTGGCAGGCAGAGGAGGTGGGTCAGGATCGTATGTGTTTTGACTGCAGTTTATAAAGTGTTCTATTTGGTTCTTATTTATCTTTTTTGAAATGACAGGACAGGGAAGAATATGTTCCTGTTCCTATTGAAACAAAGCAAATTAAAGTTGGAGGTCAGGTAGGGACACAGATGACTTGATCAGAACCTCTAGACTGTCACCCATGTATTTGCAAAATACAGCAGTATATAAATCACTGGCTTCTGTAGTGCCTTTAGAAACACCAATTGAAGGCTTGAGCTGTAAATAGTGGCCAGATTCTGAAGGTTTCCACCCTCAGATAAAAACATCTTTTGACTTGAGTAAGTTTTGCTTGTAAAGCTATGTATAGTCTATACCTAGCAAAGTACTAATTCTGGTAAACTCTGAGCCAGGCCTGGGTAGTGGGTGTTCATTTGGAGTGTGAACCTGGCATCGTATCTAGGAAGCCTGAGTCAGAAACTTACCCTGTTTTTTTCCATTGGGTTAATAGCACCAAATGCACGAATTCTTTATTAAGATGGTGCATTCATTTCTTTGGAGTCATGATGGAATTTTGATAGAATTAAGAACCCCATTAATATTTATATCTGTGTTACTGGGAGTAAGTACATTTATTTTAACTTGAGCTGCAAATAATTTAGTCCTTTGTAATTACAGTACTGCTATTAAGTATTCATAAGGCTGTACAATATAGTGTCACAGGAAACCTATTTTAATTTAGTGGCAAGTCAATGTTTTAATTTTGTGTAAAAACAGAAACTCATTCACCAAGCATTTTTGCTTGTGTTTTTTTGCAAGCCTTTTATTTTTCATTTATTTCTAGAAACAAGACTATTTCAGCTGTGAAAGTCTTTGGTAATACATAGAGATGGGTCTGTCTGAGGTCATTGGGAGTTTTACCTTGAAGAAGGACAGGATGATTTAACCAAGGGTATTTATGAGCATGCCACTTCCCACACCAGCACCCAGAGCTCACTGGGTGAAGTGTGGCATGCTTTGTGCACTGATACAATGCTTTGGGTTAGTTTCTTAAAATCATTTTTCTACTAAGTCATTTGTAGTAGTTAGAGGAAAGATGCTGCTAGTATTTGGGGCAGGACTACACAGAACGGGACCTTTCAACCAGTAACACAAGGTGTCTGCCGAGGGCTGTGATAAATACAGTTTTTGATGTGGTATGCATGATATCATCTGACATCTGCTTTTTCTCCTCACCCCTGTGGAAACTGAGTGTTTGTCCAGAAGAGTCTTTTCTCTGTGCTGGTGCAGTGGTCCTTGCAGTAGTTTGCTACCTTGCTGCAGTTGAAATAATCCTTTGGGAATCTCGATCCCAGAAGTTCCCAGGAGAAGTGGTGACCATGGAGGGGGGGGGTGTTAGAGGTTGATCTTAGCTTTCAAATGAAGACTTGGAAGCTGATAAGAGGGGGAACTTTTTTTTTGGTTTTCGGTAGAGCCACTGTCCCGCTAGGACCTTGAAGCATTCTGTTAGCACTAAGCTATGCATGAATGGTGGTGTATACACAACCACAAAAGGTTGTCTATCACTTCAGCTTGATTTTGTGTTTCCAGGCATGCACCTTAGTGTTGTGAGATACAAATATGCCAGGGTAGATGACAGAAAACTGTGCTTTGACAGCTTTGCAATGGTATGACTTCATTTGACATGTCTACCAGACTTCTGTTTGCAAGAGAAGCCAGGACAGAGAAGCAAAATGCAGCATACGGGTGTCTTCACTGGGCAAATGTGCATCCGTGAGACAGATCCTGTAACTTATAACTGCCCTTTCTCTCTCCACTGCAGGACGAGGTCTCTTCTATGGACATTGAACTGCCAGCTACCTATGCCTATTGCCTGTGATGGAAGAACTTGATGTTAATGTGAGGTAGGATAAACTACATGGCTCCTCCTATACCTTGTCTTGTCACTAGCGAGCTGCAGGGGGGCAGAAGCTATGTGGGGTGTTTGCAAAGCTACAGGATGCTATATTCTGTTTGTAGACGAAGGTTTCTGCTCATGCAGCAATGCCTGCTTTGGGGTTTCCTGTAGCTTCTGTGATGATGTAGTGTCGTCCTGTTACTTGTGTAAATGTCAGATGTGACCACCAAACCCACTTCACACAAGGACATCAAACTTGTGACTAAACCCGTGCTGCTGGCCCAGACACAGGAGGAAGCAGTATTTCAGTTGCAATAACTCTTTGTGGAAACATACACCTCTCTTCTTAAAAACCACTTGGGGACTATCTGATGTCTCAGGTTTTTATTCTGGGGAGTAGTTCTTCACCCTTCCCCTGTGTGGACACTCAGGTGGCAAAAACATGGGGAAATGTCTTGGAGAAAACTGCTCTGACAGAGACAGATTCAGTGTATACACTCTGGTCCTGCAAGAAGCCTTTCCCTAAGGTGTTACTGAACAGAGATCAGCAGGAAATGCCATACAGAAAAGGTGAGACAGGGTTTTGCACCTCAAAAGGGATCTTGTCGTGCCACCCTGTCCTCACTGCTTTCTCCTCTTGGGCTTTCAGGTTGGGATGTGCCTCTGTGCAAGCCACAACCCATTCTCCCCAGTTGCATGCACAGAGTGAGATAATACATTTTTCAAAGGCAATTTCTATTCTTAATTAGCCCCTCAAAGTGCTGTACTATCAAAGAGAACATCTCTGGTCTTCATTCACCTACTCAAGTGTCAGGGAAGTCACCAGCAACTCCAGGTTGCTGCTTAATGCACACTTAGCAGGTTGCATTTATAACCTGGTGATCAATGCTGAGAGGTAATGTGTTTTCCTTAATGAAATTCATCTTGCCTTTTTAATACCAAGTGTAGTTAAATGTGTAGGCTACTGCTGTTTTTCTGTAAAGGGAATTAAGGTGCTGATACCAAGCAATTTTCCCTACAATATTTTCCTGCCTGTAAAGACACTAGGAAAAAAATCTTCCATTTCTCACTGTGGTAAAAAAAATTCCCCACTATACGTTTCACCATTTATAGAAGGAAAAAGTCAGTTCATAAACACCAAGGAACACAAAGAAACTGGCTCAGCGAGTGCCTGAACCACAAGTGCCTGGGCACAGGGAGGCTGTACTGGAAGGGAAGTGTGACATTATATTTATCTTATCCTTTTTTCAGTACTGTGTCATTTGCCACACGTGGAGACAGACATTGAGTAGGTCTGACTAAGCATGGGTGTTTTGAAGTGATCTGTTGGAGTTTTGTCATTCACTGTTTGTAGGAACCAACAGATCATTCTGTTTCTTCTTATTTTTTAATTTAATTTTAATTAAAACTTTCATTTCAAATTGTTTTTTATTTGGACCCAATTTCAATATAATTAATATTAATAACATAATATAATTATATTATATATGATATTTATAATTATTTAGGTTTATAATTATACATTATAATAATATAATATAATAGGGTCCAAAACCCACCCAAGCCAAAACCCAAACCCAAATAAAGCTGATTCCTATCAGAGTTAGTCTTTCTGTTCTGATACTTTCCTATACGTGATGTCACCTGAACTCAATGAGAAGCGCTCGGGAGGAAAGGGTTTGGGAGCTCCAGGAGTGCATGGACAGAGCTGCAGGGGGGTTTCCTTTGGGAAAATGCCAGTTGCACAAGCCTGTAGAAAGGTATTTTGGAGAGGGTTCCCTCGAGAGACTCTTCTCCCCTGGAAACTGGTTAGCGTGGCCTGACCCTGACAGGGCAGCAGAAGGACCTGTGAGGGGGAAAACCTTGTTTGGTGAGTTATTTCATCTGCCTTCCCATTTAGATGTTAAAAGAGGCACCGCAAGGCATTCCTGGGAATCAGATGATGGAAAACCCATGGGAATTTGAAAGCACTTGTGAATCACTATTGGGTCACTGTTCCGGAGCTGTTTGATCACACACTGTGGTCAGATCTCACTTTGTTATACATCAGGAATGATTTCTATGCTTTTGTTCCTAGGGCTTTTCCTGAGCTGAACTAAGGCAGTCCTTCATTCTGTGTGATTGGTTGCATAAGCTGACTTTGTGGTAGGCACATGGTTTTATTTTGACTCCACGCTTTCCAAACAAGAATTTTGGGGTTTGAGAGCTTTGCTATCAGCCACCAGTAAGTAGCCGATGTTTCTCCTTTAGCTGCCCTAATTCCAGCTTTTTTTGCTGAGATGTGAAAAACTAAATGTTTTCTGTCAAAGCAAGGACCTTCCATGTGCTGTTTTCCAGAGCTGTATGTGGTAAGCCTGAGAGGTGGGAGCGCTGGGGTTCTGCCTCCCCATCCCTATGGGGCTCAGGGATGCTGCAGTGGGAAGGCTGCATGAGAAGGGCAGCAAAGCTTGGGGAAATGGGAGATGTTTTGACAACATGATGACAACAGCAGGCTGTGAGGAGAGTGGGGACAGGTTGACTTTGTTTAGAGCTGAGCCTTGTGGAACAGCAGCATTTGGAGCAGCAAGTTCCACAGTTGTCCTGCTCCAGCCATCTGAGATGGCCATGGCCACAGAGCTCCTGCCCTTGACAGGTTTTGATGAGGTGCTCCAGAGGATGACAAGTGATGAGTGGCTTTACATCTCTGTAGCTACCTGAAGCACTGCAGGCAGCTTCATCTGTGCAAATGTTTTATTTCTGTGGAAAGAATTGGTTATGAATTTTGCAAAGGCTGCAGCGTGAGGTTGGAGACACATTCCTGGAAACTTTAGACAGTCTGCTTTGGAGCTTGTATTTGTCATAGCCAAGGGGGGTGGCAGACCTCATTTTCTTTAATTCTAGAGTAGAATAGAAAAATAAATGGCATTACATGTATTTGATCTATATTTTATAGAATTTTTAATTTTGTGTGACTTGGTGATCGTTATTGGACACATTTATTATAGGCAGTAGGCTAATGAGATACTGTCAAGTGGTTTGGAATGAAAACTCTGACACTGGAATTGGTTAGAGTATGGGGGTGGTGGTGGAAGCTATTCTCTTTATTCTCTTCGTTTCCAACACCTTTATAAAGCTATTAGCTGGGCACACTACAAACGAGTTCAGCAGTCCTTCCCCCTGACCAGTTGTAGCACAGTAGGCACATGGTGGGGCTGTTTGCTGCTGATGCCCTCAACCAAAGGGCAGGAGCTCCTGCAAATTCCTTCACTCTTACCCTCACTGGCACAAGCCCCTTCCTCCATCTGAAGGTTGTGATGTAGCACTTGCAATCTTCTCTTTGGAGCCAGAGCTGGCACAAGGGTTTTAGCAAGCAGGCTGCTGCCCTGCCTGCTCATGACAAGGTGTTTCTTGTAAATCTGTACAAACCTTCAAAACATGTTTGCATTTCTCTTTTTCAGTTTTTCTGTTGTTTTTTTTTGGTGCATTAAGACAATTTCACTTTCATACAAACAGAAGGATTTTGACAGCCTTAGAGAAAGTGGAAAAAGGTTGACTCTCTTTGAGCACAAAAGGAAAATATAGAGATGGTTCAGCTACAGTTTGTTCCACTGCACCTACACTTGCATTTCAGTGCAGAACAGCAGTAAGGTGAATCTCCCAGTCATCCCCACACATGGTCCATCAGTTCAGATCACATAACCCTTGGCAAGGAGACTTGAAAACTGCGTTCCTCTTGGAAGACACTAAACCAGCAGCTCTGCACCACACACTCTGCAGTCCACAATGAGAACTAAAGTTTTTGAAGCATGGGCTCAGACTGTGCAGCTTCCTCATTCAGGCATCGTGGGGACAATCAGGCAGGAGACTGGGCTAAATCCAAACTTCCAAATACCCCCTATGTCCTGCACAGAGTGGAGGTGTAGGGGCCACAGTACCAACTGCTTTGATTTGTTCCGTTGTGCCAAACGACCAGAGAAAATAGACATAGTTTCTGTGTACAGAAGTTACCTGGCAGTCCATGGACTCATTTCTCTGTGTACAAACCAGGCAGGTGGCTCTTGCAGAGTGTGGACAGGTACATAACAACTCTGCCCTTGAAAACTGAGAGGATTTCTGTGTACCAAGAAGGGCACCTGCAGACCTTGCTGAGCAATCCAAAAGGGATGGACTCTGCTTCTTTTGGGCCCTTGCCAATGTAGACAGCAAACGTGCCATTCATGGGGAGTGAGCAATGGCCTCACTAAAGACTATTAAAGTCTTCACAGACCTTTGGTAAGACTGTTATATCAGTATGGAGCATTGACTGTAACCAGGAATAATGTAAAGCTTCCCATTGGCATTCCAGCCTCCTTTTATCACATAGCAGATCAGACTCTTCTACATCACTGCGAGCACAGGTGACTTGAAAGCACACTAGTTCTGAATGGTGTGGTTTGCCATTCGTGTGTGTTTTCCCTTCTTTGAGCTCCAGCACTCCTTCTTCATTCATTCAACCCACTGCTATGGGTGCTGCACGTCAAGCCCAGCATTTCCAGCTCCTGGTCTGCCTCAGAGATGCTCTGCTGGCACATTCTGAAAACCATTGACCCAAACTTTTGCAAGAGCTTTGGCACAGAAATGCTCCGGTGTCATTTACGGCAGTGCAACAGGTTGGGAAGTTGCAGTTATTAACGAGAGGCAGTTTGAACATTTCTCAAACTGCAAACTGATTTTCATGCTCTGGCTGATGTTTCCGTTGGGCAAGCACCCTGCTATTGCATGCTAAATATCGACTGCAAAGTTGTGCTTCAGGCAGCTTTTAAAATGCATTTCTGTTAACATTTTAACCCCAAAGGCCGTGCTCTGGGCTTTGAGAACTGGACTGTTTTCCACTTTCTCACACAAACTCTTTGTGTAAGTCTGTGGACAAATCTTCAAGACTGACTGATTCTCCCCACTGTGACAAATGGAGTTCCATATGAGCTCCAGCACAAGCAGCTCTTAAAGCCCTTAGCTGGGAGAGGAGAAGCAGAAGAGCAGCTGCCTGGT